AGAGGAGGGGGAGGGGGAGGTGCGATCGAGATAAGTGTGGCGCTATAAAACGTTACAGGCGGGGAGAGGGGGAGGGGGCGATGCGATGGGTTCAGCGGGTCATGATGGCGGGGCGGGCGGGGAGGAACGTCGCCATACTGCCGCGGTGGGGAAAATGGAAAAAGAGTGACGGGGTGCACTGCTGTGCTGGGGCGGGTAGAAGGCGTACCAGCTCGCTGTGATGTTGTTTCCGCAAAATAACCGAAGTGGACTGGGACATCAACAAAATACCCTTTCTTCGGGCGCGGCTGCAGCACTTGACTATTCAGGCGGATCGGAGTCCAAAGACAAGGACGACAGAGGTTCGCCTTATGTTTGCCGTATGAGACCCATAGGCTAGGTGGTATAAGTCAGTGGGATCCGCGAGAACGATCCGCACCACGGTGATCCGCACTAAGAGAATTTTCAAGATGCCGAGGATGAAGCTGCACAAGGAGAGGCCGCCTTTTCCTCGCCGTTTCCCCTCTTGTCCTCTTCTATTACGTCATAAGGACCCCCCCCCCTCCCCGCCCACCGAGGTGATAGCGATAACACAAGATAAGATACAGGTGTCCACCGGCTACGCTGGTCAGAGCGACAGTTAGTTGGGCCGCACCTCGACTTTCCGCAACTAGGATGTGTGCCTCGCGAAAGAAATTGAGGGGCAAAATAATAAGTTAGATCGAAGTGCGACATTATCAGTTGTTAAACCTTTATAGGCTGGGCCGTGATGTGTAAAAATGTGGTCGCACTAATGTGCTCCACGACATATTTAGAAATGAATACTAACTCGATCACGCTATTCAGCCCCGCCTTGTAAAGAAGCACTCATCACGAGGCTCCTCATCTCTTCTAACGGTTCTTTTTCTTCTTTATCGTCGGTGGCGATGGCCGTGCGAGACGATTGGTGAGACTCTGTCCAGTGTTCAGTGTACATACTTGCTGTTTCCCTGCTTCTTTCGCCCTGCTCACCGTGCCTCTCCGCCCCGCAGGTTGAGGTCGCACCGCGAGCCCCGCGTGCGGAACCTGCTGGCCGTGACCGACACGCTGCGCTCCGGGCGTGGACAGCCCGGCCCCGAGGAGCTGAGCGGCGCGCTGCTGGAGGCCATGCGGACCAACAACGTGAAGCAGCTGCAGGAGGTACTGTCCAAGGTGAAGGACTACCAACTGCTGGAGGACAGCCTGACCGCAGCGTGGTGCAAGGCCCGGGCGCAGGGGCTGCCCCTGAGCAAGGACATGGAGCAGTGTGCAGTCTACTACATGGTGCTCCTGCGCTATGAACTCTCGCCACGCTCCCGGAGGAAGGACAAGCCGCGGCCGCTCGGGTGGGACGCGCTGTGGGGCCTGGTCGGCCTGGTGGACCAGTTGCGGGCCGACGTGCGGCGACTACTGGACCTCCTCAAGCTGGAGGAGGCGGACGAGGCCGTGACGCTCGCCATGCGCTCGGCCCTGGCCATCCGCGCAGTGAAGGGGTTCTTCTACCGCTCTTACGGCGAGGTGCCCTGGGAGGAGATTGAGTACCTCCTCGCGCTGTTCATCGAGGCACGCACCGTCTACCGGACCCTTGCCTTCCTCGTGGCCAGCAAGGACAGAATCACAGCGCACCTGGAGTTCTTCCTGGAGAAGGTAGAGGAGCTGAGGACCAAGCACACCGGCCGATCTGACACGAACGCCGCTATGAAGGAGATGATGAAAGCGCCCAAAGGGAAGAGGGCCGAGAAAACAACCAGCAAGGCCGTTGGCAAGCAAATGGCAGACATCCTCGAGGACTTCGCGTTGCTGCGGGACTGGCAATCACTCAAGGTGATCGTAGAGGCTCTCGAGGCTGCCATCGCCGCCTTGCAACTACCCGGGGAGGACTGGAAAAACTGGGGCTGGTTAGGTTTTCAAAGAGGGCTTTTCCTAGCGGGGGAGAAGATGAAGAACTCGTGGACGTCACCCAACCTATCCAGTCGCTACGTGAAGCTAGTCGAGGTGGTGGCTGCGGAAGGCATCCGCAAGGTGCTGTGTAATGGGATTCGTGACGTCCAGGAGCACAGTGCACCGGGATCTAACGCGGATGAGCTGACTATGTCTGTCCTGGACACTGACGAGGAGAGGACGCACTTGAAGGAGGAACTGGGGAGACTGCTGCACTCGATTAAAACCATGCTGCAGGAGGCTGAACTAGAAGTGACGCAGAAGAGGATGGACCCACCAGAAATAATACATAACCGACTAACGGAGAGGGTGGTAGCATCCATAGGAAATGCAGATATGACTTCTGACAGAAATTGGGTGTATGGAGAAGTGAAAAGACTACTAGAAGATGTCAACAAAGGGAAAAACAACAGTGAATTAGAAGCCTTGATTAGGGATTTAAATCATTCGCTTCACAGAAAACTTGTCACATTTAATCGGTTTAGTAATACCTTAACTCGGTCTATAAAAGATCGCATGTATAATGTTGTGACTCGACACTGCCCGCAACACATACAAAGGATTCATCAACTCCTGGAATGGAGAAGTGCTCAGGGCCTAAGTATCTTCCAAGACGATTTGAACAATAAGTCCAGCAATGCTGGCGGTGGCTCTTGCGGCTCGTCCAGCCGCGCCTGCTCCGCCTTAGAAGCCATTCCAAGCGGCCGTGAGGACAACGAAAGTCTTATTCGTCATGCAGTGGAAGGCGGGCTGCAGGCGCTGGCCTCCCGCTGGCACAGGGACGACCACGCCCCGCCACTCCTCGACCTGCATGCGCCCGCCCTGTTCGGCCGGCAGCTGAGGAACCACTTGAACCACAGGGACCTGATCGTGCGCCTCTGCTCTCCTACGACCAGGGAACTGTCAAGCCTTTGGTCACTTCTTCTTTACAAAGCAATAGATGTCGAGCGCGGCGCGGAGCCCAGACTGCGGGACCCGACGGAGTCCGCGGCCGAGAACGCGGAGGTGCTGCGCCTGGCGAGGCTCAAGGACGCCATGTTCCGCGGCGCGCGAGAAGGAGACCTGGACGAGTTGCAGCGCGCCGCGGGGCTCGGCGTGGACATCTCCAGGAGGGACTGTCTCGGCGTGGACATCTCCAGCAGGGACTGTCGCGGCCGCACGCTGCTGCACGCCGCTGCCGAGGCCGGCCAGGCCCGCGTGGTGGACTGGCTGCTGCAGCTGGGCGCCGGCGCCGTGGACCCGCTGGCAACCGACTGGGAGGGACGGAGCGCGCTGCACGGCGCAGCAACGGCGGAGGTGGCGGAGTCGCTGATCGCTGCAGGCCGGGGTGAGTGCATCTCTTTCCTCAATCAGCACAGGTGCAGGTGTCTGTTACGGGCCCTGTGCTTCCCGCCAAGAATAGAGTGTTCAAGTACCTGATGTGAAAAAAATTACTGTTTCTCTTGCTTATTTGGTATAAGACTTTGTCATGTTCATGTTTGAGGTATATGTTTTGTATATAGTTTATAAAATATGACCAATTATAACTATAATGTATTTCTGTTCCAGTGGCGCCAGATGGTTACGGCTGGACTCCGCTCCACGCCGCGGCGCTCTCTGGCCGCACCGCTGTGGTCCGGGCGCTCCTCCCCCACTACGACCTCCACGCCAAGGACAACGCCGGCGGCACTCCTCTGCACCTCGCTGCAGGCGGCGGCCACGCGGAGGCGGTGCGCCTGCTGCTGCTGGTCGGAGCGCGATGGGAGGCCGTCCAGCAGAACGAGCAGTGCAGCACGCTCTCCATCGCGGCGCAGTCCGGCAGCGCTGCTGTGGTGCGGCTGCTCCTGCTCCCGCCGCCGCCGCTCCTTCCGCGGCCCTCAGACTACGACTGCTGGATCGCTGCTGTTCTGGCCGGACAGTACCGCCACTTGGAGGTGTTCTCCACCCTCATGGATGAGCTCCAGCGGCGAAGTGCGCTGCGGGACAGCCCAGAAGCGCGTCTGGCTGTAGGCGCTGTGGCTATCGGGGGGAGTACAGAGGTAGCTGCCGAGCTGCTAAACCGCTGGCCGGACGCAGTGAGGCTGGGGTTAGACGAGGCAGTGACAGTCCTCTCCGTGGCCGCTGGGTGTGGTCACGCTGACCTGGTGCGCACCCTGCTGAGCCGCGGGGCTGACCCGCTGCAGCGGGGTAAGGACTCTTGCACCGCGCTGCATCACGCTGCACAGGTTGGGTCCGTGGAAGTGATCGACGTCCTCTGGGAGCACAAGCAGGCGGAGCAGGATGCAGCACGAGGAGAAGAGCTGCGGCGCGTGTGGGAGGGGCGGAGAGAGGGGGGCCCACGCCCACCGCTGGGTCTAGCGGCAAGGGGGGGTCATCTGGCGGCCGTGCGGCGACTAGTGGAGCTGGGCGCGGACAAGGACTCGGGGGTGCGTGACGCCGCTCACTACACGCCTCTCTATGCGGCTGCACGGCACGGCCGCGAGGAGGTGGTGAGCTGGCTGCTGGGGGCGCGCGCCCGCCTGTACGACCCTGAGGCTGCCCACACACCGCTGCACGTGGCTGCAATGTTTGGACACCTGGCCGTGGTGAAGCTCCTCGTGCCGAGCAGAGAGCTGACGGAGCAGCAGCAGCGCGAGCGCCTGGGCCTGCTGCAGCACGCCGGGCCAGACCCGGAAACAGCTCTGCACTGTGCTGTGGTGTCGGGCTCGCTCGAGGTGGTGAAGCACCTCCTGGAGCGGGAGGTGACGCTGCTGGACCCGCACTACAACAGGAGGGTTAAGGAGGGGAAGTCCGCGTTGTGGAAGAACCTCACCGTGTACAGGCGAGACTCAAAGAAGCGAACTCCTCTGCAGTGGTGTGTCGTATGTGACGCCCCGACTACCGTGTTCCGAGAGCTGCTCCAGCGCATGGAGGACGAGCGGGTGATGGCGCTGGGCGGCAAGGACGTGCTGGCGGTGCGCGACATGGTGCAGGAGGCCCTGGACTGGGTGGACCCCGTGCATCTCGTACAGACCGTGGAGTACGGCCGGCCGCCCCACAGCGAGGGGATGAGGCGGGAGCTCACCGAGTCCCTCCGGCGGCTGGACACACAGCCAGCGTGAAGTCAGCCCTGGTGAGAGCAAAGAAGTCGGTAGAGGGGATAGACGCCGCGATTCTTTGCACTATTTTACCCTAAAAGGGTGCGCACAGTAAATGTCTGAACAGTACCTACAAACGCAGCCTGGATGATGTACGCCAGATGCTCTGCGAAATCATTCGATGCACTGTTGTTTAGACATACATTTTCATCCGTCACGGATGAAATGAGATAGACACTATGCTTTACTTTGGCACTACTATTTTACTTCAATAAATTATTACAATTACAAGTCAACTTAATTATTTTGCGCTACATATTACGTCCTTACCAAAACATTTCCTTTTGTCTGTCTTTGGTAAAACTTTAAACTGGAAATCGAAGTGTATAACTGTCGCATAGTACTTGTTTGTAGGCGAGCGAAATCATTCATTCTGTCGTAGATGTGCGACAACTTGTTAACATTGTTGCAGGTGAGTGAATGACTATTCACACTCTTGTAGATGAGCGAATGGCTATCTTTTGTAAGTGCAAGCATCGGTACGAATGGTTTCTCGCTCACTTTGTAGCAGTGTGAATAGCCATTCTCGCAGCCGGCACCGGTGCCACACCTGTAACACGGTGGTTGTACCCCCCGGGACCAAGTACCCTCGGTACATAAGCCCTAGGGCCCCTGTACCCCGGGGTACACCAGCCCTAGGGCACATGTACCCCCCCACCTCGAGGGTAGGGGGTACACCAACCCTAAGGGAACATGTACCCCCGGGGGTACACCAGCCCTAGGGCACATGTACCCCC